GTGAACCAGTGGATGTGAATTGTCTTGCCTCTCTGTCTCACACACAAATAATACATCTTAGCTGAGCTGAAGTTGTCTCAGTAGTGCAAGGTTGATTAAACATTTGAAAATCAATACAATTTTTCCTGTAACAGACTTGAAAATAATACAGGTGGCAGCAGATTAAGCCACAGCCCGTCATGCCAACTGGCATCCCATGTGATTGCAGGTTTGAGTCCTGGCTGGTCCATTTTCTGTCCAGCTTCCTGTTAATGTGCTTGGGAAAGCTGAAGAAGATGGTCCAAATGCTTGGGGCCCTGCCACCCATGTGGGAGACTCAGATGAAACTTCCAGCTCCTGGCTTCAGCCTAGCCCACCATAAAGCTGCTGAGGCCATCTGGGGAGTGAGCCAGTGGATGGACGATCTCTCTCCTCCACCCAGGCCATTCCACCCCTGGCCTACTTTTCCTCCCTCCCTCCTCTGTATAACTGCCTTTCAAATAAACATTTTCTAAAAAACCTATTGGCCATCCTCTACTGCTTTCCCAGGCCTTAAGTAGGGAGCTGGATAGAAAATGGAGCAGCCAGGACACAAACTGGCGCCCATTGGGATGCTGGGGCTTATAGACAACCATTGTGCTAGCCCCCTGAGAAAAAATTTAAAGATCCAAATAAGTGTAGAAACATTTTATACTCTTGGAATGGAAGGCTCAATACTGATAACATACCAGTTCTTCCGAAATTCAACTATTTACTCAATGTCGTCTAATTTGAACCCAGAGCAGGAATTTGTATTCTAAATCTTATAAGGAAATTTGAATAGCTGAAACTACCTCAAAAATAGAAGCAAGCATGTAGAAATGTGGTTAAATTGCTGCACAGGTCATCTGCATACTCTAGGAGACTACCTGGTTCAACTCCCAGATACCTGCTCATGGTTCAAGTTCCTGCTAATCCACACACTGGGAGACAGCAGATGATGGCTGAAATGCTTGAGTCCCTTCCACTTTCACTCAGTTACGACCAGTTCCAAATATTTGGGGGAATGAAACAGCTGATGAACTTCCAATTGTCTCTGCCTTTAAAATTTTTAGTTTTAAAAAAATTTTTAAAGGAGGGGGGTTGGCTAAAGAACTTAAAAGTATATGATTCCAAGATTTCTTACAAAGCAGCATAAATTAAGTCAGTGTGATATTAGCATAGACTAGTATATAAATGAAACAGAATGATGTCCCAAGATAAACCCGTACATCTGTAGGATTGAGGCGGGTCGGTGGGCAGGGCAGAGGTCTCATCAGCTGGCTCACTTCCTAAACACACACAATAGTGGGGGACCAAACCTAAGGGCTGGAAACATAATCCAGCCCTTGCACACGGATGGCAGGAACCCAACCAGTTGAGCCATCACTGCTGCCTCCCCAGGCACTGGAATGAGGAACCACAGCAGCACACTGAATTCAGTTAAACTGGTGTGGGATGTGGGGCTAAACCTGGGTCTTAGTTGCCAGGCCAAGCGCCTGCCCTGAGAGTTGATTTTTAAAAGTGCTAAAAAAATTCAGAGGGCAAAACTCTTTCCAACACATGGTACTGGAACAAAGGGATATCCATACGAACAAACAACCTTGAGCCCTGACCTTCTATCATACAGTGTATTTCCAAATGAAATACAGACATACAGGTTAAGTTAATAAAATTTCTAGAGGAAACCTTTGTGAACTTCAATAAGGTAGGGAACACACACACACAAAATTAAAAAGGACATCAATAGAAGCCATTAAGGAAACGAAAAAGTTGTAAATATTGAGAAAAATATTCACAAAATCTATCAGATAAGAATACTTGTATCCTGAATTCTGAGATAAACACAACTCAGTAAGATGACAAACAACTTGATATAATAATAACAAGCAAGTTTTAATTAAACACTCCACCAAAAAGATACACAAATCTGAAATAAGCTCATGAAGACTTCTGACATTACTAGTCATTAGGGAAACACATACTAGAACCACGAATACCTACCAATACTACCAATATCCACCAAAATGGCTACAATCTAAACAGCAGTACATGGCAAGGACATTGCTGGCAGAACAGGAAATGGTATCGCTTCTTTGAAAAAGACCGGCAGTTTTTTAGGTAACTACAAAACGTAACTATAAAATGTACCATACAATTCAGCAATCATTCTCTTAGAACCATAAAAAGATGACTCTTAAAAGTACCATACTAAGCCAGATATTCAGATGCATGCTAGGTGATGCCACTTACATGAAATTCCACAATAAAAACCTGTAGTGACAGAAAACACCTAGTGGTTGTGAGGGCTCAGGGATAAATAAAAACTGTTAGTGGGTGTGATGGAATCTTCTGTAATGACAAGTGTTCTGCATCATGATTTTGATTATGGCTTTATGACTATATTTGTCAAAACTCATTTAATTGTACATGTAAAGTGGCATTCCCACGTGTAAATTTTACCTCCAATAAAACTTCAATTTCAACTTGTTGGTTTCAGCTCTTTGGAATAACGCTTAAAATTCTTTAAACAGGTGGGCAAACAGTGGTGTAGCAAATAAGACACCATTTGAGACATCAGTATCCCATATTGAAAGGTATAGGCTTGAGACTCAGCTTTGCTTCCCATTCCAATATTCTGATGAATACCCCAGGAAGTAGTGTGATGGCTCAGATGTGGCCCTGTCACATCTGAGGGACCTGGGCTCTGGCTCTGCTTTGGCCCAGCCACTGCTAAATCAGTGGATGGGAGATTTTCTTTCCACCTCTCAAATGAATAAAATGAACCACCATGCCAAGACTTGTCTATGTCCTTTGGAGTGGCTTTATTCTGATTCTAAGATAAATAAAAAATTTCTACTGGTATTTGTAGTTGACAGGTTAGGGGAATCAAGATTAATTAATTAGTAGCGTCAAAACTATTATCACCTGAAGCTAGATGATAAGCATGGGAGCATTACCAGTCCCCAAGAGTGTGGGGGAGGCCATGTAAGAAGAATTTTTGCTTGGTCAAAGGACAGCCAGCTCCAATTCAGGGGAAGAAGGCAAAAAAACAAATATCCTAACCTGTCTTTCCAGTTACCTCCTATCTTCTGCTGGCACTGTTGACTGGCTGGACACAAGAGGAAAGTAGAGAGCAAGGAAACTTCCCGATTTGTTCTGGTCAGGCTTTCAACAGGAACACGGCACAAGCCTGAGTGAGGAGGTCAAATGTATGACGCTGGGCCCAGGCTGCCTATTTTGTCCAGAAGTATTCCTTGATTAACACTTGTGAGTATTATCAGGAATCTGGTTGCCAGTACAAAACCTCTCCGTGTAGTTTAGAGAGACAGACAAACAATGGAGGAAGAGCAGAAGAGCTGACTTTAAGGAAATCAGTGCTACTGCAGCCCACTCTTGTGCTTCTCTTCTCTGCACGCTGGTGTCCAGCAGCCCTGGAATGCCGCAGCACAGAGGCCTGATCACACAAAGACTGACCTTCCAACCGCAAGCAGGAAGCCTCCAGGGGAACTCGGAGCTCTCAGTGAACAGCTGCATTATGAGATAGTAAGGCTGACTCGGAAGATGCCAATTCTTACCAGGTTAGTTTATAAGCACAATGCAAACACAAGCAAAATCTGTCTTGAATTATTTTTGAAATATGAAGAAGTCTACACTTCCTCAAGAAATTGACAGGTAGTAGGAAAATTTGACACAGCAATTAAGACGCTGTTTGGGGCACCATATCTGGTACCTGGGTTCAAAACAAAATTCCACTCCTGATCCCAGTGTCTTGATCTTGCATACCTTGAGGGGCAGCAAGTAATGGCTCAAGTATTTGACTCTGTCACCCACAAGGGGAACCCAGGATGAATTTGTGGCTCGTAGCTGCCTTCCAGACCATCCCCAGCTATTGTGGGCATCTGGAGGATGAATCCGAGATGGGGTCTCTCATAAAAAATGAAAAAGAATACGAAGCTTAAAGAAAAAAGGATTACTAAGGATCGACACAGTAGGCTGAGTCTCCAGCTGCAGTGCCAGCAACCCCATGGGCTCCAGTTCACGTCCCTGCTGCTCTATTTCCAATCCAGTTCTCTGCATAGGACCTGTGAAAGCAGCAGAGGGTGGCTCAAGTCCTTGGGACCCTGCACCCAAGTGGGAGACTAAGAACCCACAAGGGACATTTAATATTCAAGCTGATAAACAGAGGACGGAATCAAAACCCAGGAGTGATAAGTGGTGAAGTGTCCTGGGAAAACTATGAAGACAAAAAGAAATCATGTTAGACTCTAAGTGACACTTTATACTCAACTTCCAACAAGATGAATTTTAATCTTGGGGAGTGAAGTAAGAATTTTCTCAGCACAAAAACAGAAGTAATAGACTTGATAAAATTTAAATGTACAACTTTAATGTAAAAAAATGCAAACGTAAAAGCCACAAGTAAGAAAGTATTACTGTATTATAAAAATACTCAAGTTTTTAATTAGGTAAAGTGCCTGCACTGATTATATGTTATATTTTGGGGAATGAAGAAAAGAACTAGTAAACATTTTAGGTGACATAACAGTAAAAGTTAACTAAATACTACTATTATATTGAAAATGAGCACTTTTGATTGTTCAAGATTTAGCATTAAATAATTTTAATTATACCTAGAAGAAATTATGAAACATATTAAAAGCTCCTATTTCCAAAAAAATTAAGTCCCTCACAGTCAGAAGTGGTCACCACATTGTTATTATGTATACATAATTATTCCAATGACTTAGGATTTTATATGGTACAGTGTTTATTAGTATAATTTTGAAAAATGAAAAAAGTAAAAATGTTACTCACCTGACATGGAAAATTAACGAAACAAAAGGCATTTAATAAAGGATTGATTAAACTCTGTTCAGGAGTTACAAGTAACCAAACACTGGCTCTCCCTAGTGCAAGAATAAATTCACAATATGCCAAGGTTTTTAAAAAGTAATGAGAAAAATATGAATAGCAACCAAAAAGATAAATAGCTGCATTCAACAATAATTTTTATTTTTTATCCACAAAACAATATTACAATACTTTATAAAAATATTAAGTTTTAAGCTACCATTATTCATTAAAAAAGTGTTTGTGCTAGAAGGCTGTATTGCCAACTTGCTTTTTTGGTAAGGGTTAATTAAGTTCCACATTAAGACATTGAAGACAAAAAGCTGTTGGGGAAAAAAAATCTTCAAATGTACAAAAATGTTTATTTTTCTTGGCAATTTAAAAATACATAACAATTTAAACTGAATACACATTGTTAGTGTTTTATCTTACCATACATTTGTTACTCAAGCAATGCTGCATTCAGTTCAGCTCTAAAGAACACCATCAGCTTCTCCTGGCTTATTTTTCTAATCAGAATTAGTATATGAACATGATTTTGTTACCCTTTTAAAAATGCTTAGAAAAGTTACAATATGTCACAGAAAGCCCTTTAAAAATCTCGAGTCACAGGCTGTGGATGTTAAGGGTGAACTATGACCGCCATGTTCTTACAAAGAGCCTCTCAGCAGAGGCATTCAATACTAACTCAGTACTAAACAGGCAACGTAAACAGAAGAGCCATCACTTTCAGTACCACAACTGTGGCCATCTTGCATGGAGTTCATGTGTCATGTTTTACAATGGCCTGAATTTGAACACAGATATCATGGCACAGAATTGCAAATTTAATGATGAAATTATTTAAGTGATAGTAGTTAAAAACTATATCCTAAAAATCTGGAAAATTGATAATGCCTTATCTAAAGTATGACAAATGGAGTATTTTAAAACATAAATACCATTTTAATTTCAGTTATGTTTCTTTTTCCCTCTTTAAGACAGTTAAAGCAGTAATGCTGCTACTCAATTTGTACTTTGGAATTTCTAAGTGAATAAAGATCTGCCTTTGTATGTTTCACTCTGCACTTCAAATAGGCAAAAACTGTCTCCCCCTTTACTGTTGTTACTATGCAGCATAAATTTTCCTCATCAAATTAACTATACAAGGGAAAATTTAAGTAAATTTGAAAGTGAATACGGACTCATTCAAACAAGGATTTGAAAACATCTGACATGATAAAAGCTTTGTGCCGGGAGTTAGTGTGAAGTCCTGACTTCACTATTTGAAGATATAAACTCATTTAGTGTACATGTTAGTTTTATATTCATAAATTCAAGTCTGAGAACATAGCCTAGAGGGGAGCTTTGAGTGCCAGCAAAGCCATTTTGTCACTCCATGACATGAATATTAAACATTATATTCCATCCTCTACCTGTAAAACTTTCACATTATCTTTTCTCATATTTTTTTAAATACATTTCCATCTCTGTTAGTCTCTATTCAATACAAGCGAAAGTGCATTCGAGTCCCTGATCTAGCAACGTTTCCTATTTGTGGCACCCATTACCATACAGCAATAACGCTCGCAGTACCAAGTCTATTTTTTTTTCCACTAAATGATGAAGGTCTTTTATGCTATTTAAAAATTAAAAGATTTCTTTGTGGACTGGACAGTACAATTTCAATTACATACTGTCATTTAAAAAATTCAATGCAAATTTTAAATTAAAAAATTAACTTACTTTCTGGTTACCTTCATGATTCTAAATGGAACTATCTAGAACCTGATTGAAGTGGAAGATGTTTTAATCTACTTTCCAGTTCCATGAACATGAGTATGAATACAGTGTATCCTGTTTCCAAAACCCACATGTGTGGTCTAGCATTTAATTATTTTTGATATTGCTTAGGCTCTTTCTTTGTTGCTAAAATCCTGGTCCATTTCCATGCAAAACGAGGCATATGTTCAGATGCATACTGAATACTGAGTTAGAAACTTTAAATTCAAGATATTTTTTAAAAGTGGAATGGAATGGAATCATTTGGTCCCACCAGATTCCTCAATTTTAACCTATAACCTTGCTTTCCCAAATTTTGATTACAACAATAAATAATTTCAACAATTATGAGTTTGGGGAATAAAACAATAGAAATGATCTATAGACAGTAAACTGATGCACTTCACTACCACGCTGTCACCTTCACTATCACAGCAACATTCTTAGCTCTACTTTCTTTGGACCCTGAAATAAGTTGGAAAATGCATCATTGGTACTTAACACTTGGGGAAAAAAAGTGGTTTTGTGCAACCATATCTGGAATTCCAGTTTACCATATAAAACATGCAGAGTGAAGATTTTCTTCTTTTGATTCCTTACATACGTAAGTGAGGAACTCTACGCAAGTTCTTTATATTTTGGCAGGTCTGTGCACATAAAACAGGATACTTATAGATTTTCTCCTGGCTGGTATTGTGGCTCTGTAGCAGTGAAGTAGTCTTCCAGGAAGGACTGAATATACTCAAATGTTGGTCTTTCATCAGGGTCCTTCTTCCAACACAGATTCATTAATTCATGGAGAGATTCTGGACAGCCCTGAGGGCACGGCATCCTGTATCCTCGTTCCACCTGTTCCAGCACTTCCCGGTTCACCATACCTAGCACATGAAACTCAACCATTAATCAATGGGTACTAGCTAAATCTAACGGGATAAAACAAATCGCATACTCCATAAATGATTCATGCTATATAACATTCAAATATTCAGTGAAAAGATTCTCTCAATAAAGAAAAAAAAATTTAGCTGTCATAGTAGTCAAGAAAAGGTTAGAAAATGTTAATTTCAGGCCCAGTGCAGCAGCCTATGGCTAAATCCTCACCTTGCATGCACCAGGATACCATATGGGTGCCGGTTCATGTTCCAGCAGCTCCACTTCCCAGCCAGCTCCCTGCTTGTGGCCTGGGAAAGCAGTCAAAGACAGCCCAAATGGTCTTGGAACACTGCACACACGGCAGACCCAGAAGAAGCTCCTGGGTTTGGATCAGCTCAGCTCCTGCAATTGCGGCCACTTGAGGAGTGAACCAGCAGATGGAAAATCTCTGTCTTTCCTTCCCTATATAAACCTGACTTTCCATTAAAGGTAAAATAAAATAAAAAGAAAATGCTAATCTATATTTCAACATGTTGAATTTTCATTCTGCCTCAAGTTTCACTCCTTTTTGATGATGTCTTTGTTTATTTGAGGAGCAGAGTTATAGAAAAAGAATAGAGAGAGGAAGAGATCTGTTAGTTCATTTCCTAAATAGATGCAACAGCCAGGGCCAGGCCTAACAGAAGCCAAAAGCCCAGACTTTGATCCCGGCCTCCCAGGTGGGTGCAGGCCCAAGCACGTGGGCCATATTCCACTGCTTTCCAAGGCACATTAGCAGGCAGCTGTATTGACAGTAGAACAACCAGGACTCAAACCACAGTGCAAATGCAGGCTTTACCAGCTATATCACAGTGCTGGCTTCAACAAGTTTTCCTTTTCACAGTACTGTCTTCAAAAGCCAGTCCCACTTGGTTAATGGGAACTAAGGGTACTTTTTGTTTGTTAAAGATATATTGGTTCATATGAAAGGCACAGTTATAGAGCCAGGGAGACACAGAGAAAGATCTTCTACCCAGTGTTCACTTCCCAAATGGCCACAATTGCCAGGGCTAGTTCAGGTGAAAGCCAGGAACTTGTAACTTCATCATCCAGGTCTCCTATAGGTGGGGCAGGGATCCAATTCTTGGGCTCACCTTCCAATATTTACCAAGCACATTAGCTGACAGCAGATTGGAAGCAGAACAGCTGGTCTCAAACTGGTACTCAGATGGGATGCTGCCAAGACAAATGGCAGCTTAACCTATTATCCCACAACACCTGCCTCTGTAATGAGTTCTTACTAAGTTTCAAAGTTTCAAAATTTCTATTGGGCTGTTTATATATTATGATGCTGTATTCTCCAGATGTTTTTCTTTTTTTTTTTTTTTTAAGATTTATTTATTTGACAAAGTTACAAAGAGAGGGAGACAGAAAGTTCATCCATGTACTAGTTCAATCCCCCCAGTTGGTTGCGATAGCTGGGGCTAGGTAAGGCCAGGGCCAGGAGCTCAACAGCTTCTTCTAGGTCTGCACGTGAGTGGAAGGGGCCCAAGCACTTGGACCGTCTTCTGGTGCTTTCCCCAAACCACTAACTGGGAGCTAGACTGGAAGTGCAACAGCCAGGACCCAAACTGGCACCCACATGGAATACTGGCATCACCAGATGTGGCACAAAACTGCCCCCAAAATCCTCCAGTTGTTTTCATCATTTTGCCAAATTAATCTTCCATTATATTACTTTAAATATTGCTATGGGCCTAGTGTAATGACATAGTGGCTAAATCCTCGCTTTGCATACAACTGGGATCCCATATGGGCACCAGTTCATGTTCCAGATGAGCCACTTCCCATCCAGCTCCCTGCTTGTGGCCTGGGAAAGCAGTCAAGAATGGCCCAAAGCCTTGGGATCCTGCATCTGCATGGGAGACATGGAAAAAGTTTGAGGTTCCTGGCTTTGGATCAGCTCAGCTCCAGCTGCTGTGGCCACTTGAGGAGTCAATCAGCAGACAGATCTCTCTTTTTCTGTCTCTCCTTCTCCCTGTATATCTGCCTTTCCAATAAAAATCATCTTTAAAAACTGTATTGTTAGCCTCGCTTCTCCTCTCCCGGCTGGACTCCAGGGGGCCAGACCGAGAAGCAAGGACCATGTTCCGCTGTGAGCTGATGGCTCTCGACTACCACAACCCAGCTAGCTTCAACTGCAAAGATGAAACAGAGTTTAGAAACTTTATTGTTTGGCTGGAAGATCAGGATATCAGACGTTACAAGATTGAAGACCGAGAAAATTTAAGAAACATCTGCAGCAGTGACTGGCCCAAGTTCTTATGAAAAGTATCTTAGAGATGTCAACTGTCCTTTCAAGATTCAAGATCGACAGGAAGCAACTGACTGGCTCCTCAGCTCGGCTATTAGACTTGAATATGGAGATAATGCTGAAAAATACAAGGACTTAGTATCGGATAATGCAAAAACTGATAATGCAACTAAAAATGCAGAACCACTGATCAATTTCGATATAAATAATCCTGATTTCAAGGCTGGTGTGATGGTTTTGGCTAACAGTCTTCAAATTCAACACGGTGACGATTACCTAGTGATGCTTAAGGCAATTCACATCTTGGTTCAAGAGCGCCTGACACAGGATGCAGTTGCTAAAGCAAACCAAACCAAAGAGGGCTTGCCTATTTATTGCTTTAGACAAGCATATGCTTGGTTTTGACACAGGAGATGCAGTTCTTAATGAAGCTGCTCAGATTCTGCAACTGCTGCATATGGAAGAACTTAGAGAGCTGCAGACAAAAATCAATGAAGCTATCAGCTGTCGTAGCCATTCAGGCGATTACCGCTGATCCAAAGACAGACCACAGGCTGGGCAAAGCAGGAAGATGAACAGTGAGCTCAGCCTTCCCCTACTGATGTCACTTCTGGCATGTATTTGGGACTCAGATGTCGCATTTTCATTGGAGGAAGCCCGGGAAATTGTTCTAGATACACAACCACTGCTTTTTTTCTTAATAAAGTTTGTGAAAGTGGAAATATATATATATATATATATATATATATATATATATATATAGAGAGAGAGAGAGAGAGAGAGAGAGATACAATTTTTAAAAAGGAAAAAGAAAAAAACCAATAAAATATATAGTTATTTTAGAGTTCTTGACTAATCTGGAAAATTTCTGGGAGTGTTTCTATTGAATTAAACTCCTGTGATTTAGCCATCTTTTTCTTACCTTATATTTATTATTTTATTTTATGCTAGACATTTTTAATAAAATATTATAATTATTTGATGTTATCTTAAAAAAAAAAAAAAACGTTATTTTTATGTGGAAGCCAGACTTACACAGAGAAGGAGACTGAGAGCATGAGATCCAATGGCCAAAGCTGAACTAATCAGAAGCCAGGAGCTTCCTCCAGGTCTCTCACATTAGATGCAGGGGCCCAAGAACTTGACCCATCCTCTATTGCCTAGAGCAGCTAGGACTAGAAATGGTGCCCTTATAGGATTCCAGCTCTACAGGCAGAGGATTATTAGGCTGTGCCACCACCCTGGCCCACATGTTATGTTTAAAGGATGCTAGGTCTTACTCTATCAGTAGTTTACTGGCAGACCACCTTGTCTTTGCTTGTCAAGGCTCATACTTTCTCCAGTTTTGGCTTTCTCTGAGCGCATGGCCTTTCCAGGGGTCTGGGCAAAAAGACCTGAGAGCTTCTCATCTATCCACTTCAGTTGGACAAGCACCCTGCAGCCCCTGAATCCTGCTTGGCTACCCAGCCTCATCACTGTTATTTTGTTAGGGCTTCTGCAGCCTCTGAGCATATTAGGATCTGCTCCCAGAAAGGAATTTTAAAGAAGAAGTTGAGAGTTCTTTGCCTGTGGTGCCTGCCTTCCAGAGCCCAGCACTTGGGGATCTCTATTCTTCTTGTTCAGTAAGACTGAAATTACTTTCTCTTTGGGCTGTACTTAGGGAATCTCTTCACAGACAGAACTGACATAAATATAGGGTCCTTTTTTTCTACTTGCCCTATCTTAAGCATTGTAGCTTTATCAGTTGCTGGGCAGTGTTAGAAGAATTGTTTTAAACATTAATCTAATGTGTAGTTTTAGTGAGATAGTGAGTTGAATATCAACCATTCCATCCTGTTTCTGCACATGAAGTGAGATAATCATGGCTGTTTGCTTTCTCCATTCGGCTTTGCCAAGCGTAGCATACACAGGGCTGAGTGTATTTAGTAGGGTGACTCTGTTAAGCATGAGTAATGTGGCAAAGATAAATGTCAACATAAGGGAGTGATTTAACCCTGCTTGACCACAGAACGGAAGTAGAGTGGATTCATGAAGAATATGAGGAGCAAAAAAAGATGGCAGCATCAATGGATTAAAGATCCTGATAGTGTCAAGAAGTGCCAGGGTTGAGGTGAGGTGGTAGTCGGAGAGCAGACACATAAGACACATTATGAGAGGGCTGTACTCATTATGATTTGGGAAATCTGGCTAAGGGAAAGTGGAAGACAAGGTCTTGGAGAATAGCTTAAGCTATTCAAGATATAAGAGACCACAGTAATAGAAGAAAACTCAGAGCCATTACTGTGATAAAGTAAGTTAAGTTTGCACTCGTTTTCTCAGCATCCCATATGGGTGCCATTTCAAGACTCAGCTGCTCCAATTCTGATCCTGCTCCCTGTCGGGAAAGCAGCAGCAGATGGCCCAAGTGCTTGGGTCCCTGCTGACAAAGTGGGAGACTGAGATGGAGTTCCAGGATTTCGATTTAGCCTGGCCCAATTCTGGCTGTAGCAGCCATTTATGAAGTAAACCTAGCAGGTGAACCTACCTTTTAAATAAATAAATACATAAACAAATTTTTACATCAACAATTTCTGTATTAAGACAACATGAATTAAGACAGAAGTCCAGTCTTACTGGAAAAGGATGATGGTGAGTTGTTATCATTATGATTTAGAGTTACTTCAATTTGAGAGTTACAACAGAGAAAGGAGGAGGAGGGAAATAGAGCTCTTCCATCCGCTGATTCATTTCCCAAATGACCACAACTGCTGGGTGAAGTTGCCCAGAGACTTGGGCCAAACTCTGCTGCTTCCCCAGACCTTAAGTTGGGAGCTGGACTGGAAGTGGAACAGCCAGGACTCAAACTGACACCCATATGGGATGCCATCACCACAGGTAGAGGCTCAGCTAGCTGTGCCATGGCACTAGGCCCAGTGAACTGTCATTAAGGGAGGAGACAATGAATGCTAATCAGAGCAAGCACCTGCAGCAAGGACAGTAGATGCTAAAATCTGACACTATCAGATTTACAGCTGGAGAAAGCAGAAAGGAGAAACATGATAAATAATACACAAAAACTGCAAGTTTGGCCTGACAAATTTTGCTGAAGAATATTCTACTACAGCTGAATTCCAAGCAAACTAGAATTTCCTTATTTTCTCTCTAAAGATACAGAAAGGTTTTTTTTTTTAAGATTTATTTTATTTTTATTGGAAAGGAGGATATACAGAGAGGAGAGACAGAGAGGAAGATTTTCCGTCCAATGATTCACTCCCCAAGTGAGCGCAACAGCCGATACTATGCCGATCCGAAGCCAGGAGCCTCTTCTGGGTCTCCCGAGCGGGTGCAGGCTCCCAAAGCTTTGGACCGTCCTCCACTGCTTTCCCGGGCCTCAGGCAGGGAGCTGGATGGGAAGTGGGGCTACTGGGATTAGAACCGGCGCCCATATGGGATCCCGGGCGTGCAAGGCGAGGACGTTAACCACTGCGAGGACCTTAACCACTGCGCCATCGCGCTGGGCCCAAGATACAGAAGAGATATAGATAAGGTCCTTTTGGACAATTTCTTCAGGAAGAAAGCTCAAGTAGGGCACACCTCATGTGCCTGTCCTCCCTCAAGTACTATGGCTCTCGCTGGTTTCTGCCCATCCAACAGCAAAATGCACAGAACACAGAAACAAGGGAGAAATAAAGGCCTCCCCCTCCTGACATTTCTGCTCTTGGTAAACTTCAAACTGACGTCATGGTGAAGATCATCAAGAGATACTGAAATGCAAGCTTACCTGGATACGGCACTCTGCCCTTCGTGACCAATTCTGTCTGCAGAATTCCAAATGACCACACATCTGACTTTATCGTAAATCGGCCATACAGTGCTGCCTCAGGAGCTGTCCATTTGATTGGAAATTTTGCACCTAAAACAATATTTACAATTCTTAACTATACATCTGTGTAAATATATCATAAGCAGGACCAACCTTCTGTCAACATTCCCATAGTGTGCACTGTTTTTGCCAAAGTCTTCAAACATGGAGGGGAAAATCTTTAATTTTTAAAACTTACAGTAAAATAAATCACATTTCTTCATGAGAAAATATAGTGAGTGAAAAAATAAAATAGGAAGTTAAGACAAAAAACATCTAAGAAAACCTCAGAGGTAGCAACTATGGCAAGCCAAAACTGTGGACTTACAAGTGTGTAATATTTTAGTCTGGCATCTGCTTGCTAACTCCGGTTGATGAAATCAAATACTGTTGGGCTCTAATGTCCACTGTGTGTGTGTGTGTGTTTTTAAGTCATAATCTCTTTTCTACTTTATATCTTCATGAAAAATTGCATTGCACTCCAAAAACCAGGACAGGGGCAGGGGTGTTAGACAGAAAGGCACTCGCCAGTATGTGTGTGGGCTGGATGGTAGGGTTGGTTGGGTTGAATTAGGCTTTAATGCCCATTGACAAGTATGAAAGCTAAATGGGATGTGGGACAGAATAAATAAGTCTGCGGTACATAGTGGCATGCATGGGAACCAGGGTAGGGGACAGGCCTGGTGGGGGTTATGGGGAGTCGCCCCAACTAGACTGCAGCTCCCACTGGTTTGCGTGAGAACCGAGTATGAAGTGAGTATCAGGCTGGACTGCAACACCCATTAGTCTGCTTGGAAGACAGGGCTGGAAACAGAACTGACCCAGCAACTGAAACGACCAGCATGTGCATAAGCTGATTGGGACGATGGACTGTGCCAGACCCTGTACTAGCAAGCACACACAGAACCAGGTTTGGGATCGCCGCAGACAGTTTCTTTGGAGATCCCTCCAACTGAACTGCTGATCTCAGAACCCCAACCATAAAGAGACTATGTCAGCCAGTGGATTATGAAAAGATTTCACTGCAATTGGAATGGCAAAATTGGGTGGGGTTTTTTTTCCTTTGCTTCTCCCCTGACCCCAGATACAGGGAAAATAAATGATATTAGTGTGGAAACAATGGTATTGCCCACTTTCCTGTAGCTCTGTGCTCACTTATAAAAATCCCATGGTGACTTGTGCAAATATTTAGTACACTTCTTTTATGTAGTTTATACATTTAAAGTAAAATTATACATCTTACATAAAATAATTTTTATATGTGTGTATAAAGATGGTAATTTGTTTTTTAGATTCTAGGGTAATGGTTTTCACTGACCCATTCACAACGGATGGATTACGCCTGGCCTCCACCCACTAGATATCTTTGGTAGCCTTCAAGTTAGAAGAACCAAAAATGTCTCTTCCAGACACACTGTAGATATCCCTAGAGGTGGCAGAGGGGGGTGGGCAGTATCACTTCTAAGAGGAACTTCTGGTATAAGACAAGGGTTCAATGGCTCATGAAGTCTGTTACGAAACAACATTAAAAATATTTCTTTGTTGCTATGCTAAAAATATCCACCAAACAGCCATAGTTGCATTACTTAATTTAATTTTATCAATAAAACAGAAGTCACAGTTTTTGTGATTTTGAGGGTAGAGAGAACGACTCTTATTCTCTAAAATCCTGCACATGCCAAACAATGTCAAGAAAACACAGGACATAAGGTTGCTCGCATTTATGTAATCTTACCCTGCCTTGCAGTGTATTCATTGTCTTCAATTAATCTTGCTAAACCAAAATCTGCGATTTTGCACACAAGATTTTCTCCTACAAGAATATTAGCAGCTCGAAGATCTCGGTGAATATAGTTCATTCTTTCAATATATGCCATACCACCAGCGATCTTGGAAAGATAAAACAAACCAACCAACCATAAGATTCAAAGGGAAACAGGAAGATTTTGGTTAAAATTTTGAAAATGAGGTATCACAAAGAGAACAGGAAAGAGCACAGCCTAGGTGATAATAACAAAAATAAAAACACTACAATCAAAAGGCAAACTAAACTTAGATTTCAGAAGTGTGATATCTACTCTGAAGGTCAAGATTTTCAAACTCCCAGTACATCAGATTATCATTAGTAGCATAATATTCTATTGCCTTTTTTGTACTGGTTGTCAATGGAAAATATGATTTTGATTATGTACCTCTGGACACAAAGCCATCGAGGTCTACATCAGGCCCATCTGACATGGCCGGGTAATCCTGATACTAACCACAAATTAGAGGTTGGTAAACCATACCTGACAGACCAAATACAACCTGAGAACTAAAGGTAGCTTTGACATTTCTACAGGCTTGTGAGAAAAGGGAGGATGGAGGAGGAAGAGCTGATTAAGACTATATGTGGTCCCAAAGTGTGAAACATTTGCCTGGCTTTTCACAAATAAAGCATGTAAACGGTGCTCCTCCTGCCACGTCCCCTGAGCGCCCAGGAGCCCTAAGCTCTAGGGCGTCAATCAGGCCTGGCCTACACCCGTCTTCTTCTCAAAGTTGCCAGATTCCGTGGTCACTGGGGATGCTCACTGAGCAGTCAGGGTTCCAGAATCAGTATTTCAAGTAAGAATCAAGCCAAGCCCCTGGAGGGGTAGGCACCCCACCCAGCGGTTAAGGTGCACATTACGGTCACAGGGCTGGGTCTTCAATCCACACAGGATTCCAGCTTCCTGCAAGCATGCACTCTGGCGGCTGCAGTGACGGCCTGAGGCAGGTGGGACCCCCTCACCCACATGGAAGACCCAGATGATGCCGGCTCCCCACTGAACCTGGCCCAGCCCTAACTGCTGAAGGCAATCAACAGGAATGAACCACTGCAAGGAAGAATCTGACCTCCTTTCCCCTTTTCCAAACAAACTTAAAAAATGTTAAAACTCCTACTGAAAATGAACCACATATCTGAACAGAAATCCCTAAAACAGGTTTTTGTTTTATTCTAAAAATGAAATTTCAGAAAAACAGAGAAGTCTAACAAAAACTAAGACAAATAAAAAGGAGCATAGATAAGTAAATAGAAATAGACAAATATAAGATAAAATGTGATTCATTCACTAAATTCACAGAAAGGTTAGGGATGGACACAGGAAATGAGAACACAACGGATCTCCCACATACATATCAGAAACCCTATTATCTGGAACATTATTTTTATTCCTCAGTTTTCTGCCAGCGTCTGCAATGGCAGCAAACTAGAATAAGGAGCCATATCAAGAACCTAACCAAGGCACTTCAGTGTGGACATGGACATCCTAATCGCTGTTCCCAAACACCCCATTTTACCCTGCCTATCACCATCTTAATTCTCGTTTTGTACTTATAGTAAATGAAAAATTAGGATACACTTTGAGTTTTAATATTTTTTCTGAAATTGCACTCATGCATTTTAATTTCTTAGAACTAACCTGCTAAAGTGCAAACCCATACTCACCTAGACTCGACATCTGCAGAAGCATCTATTTTCTAAAAGGTGACACGGAACAGCAGAACCCTGGAACTGGCTCTACCACTGGCTTTGCTACATGAATTGTAGGTACCTTGAATCTTCAGACACATCACCTTTAATATTAGCAACTCGTAATACAGGTTATTTTTAAATACTCCTCCTAGTTCTTAAATTCCATTATTTCCCCATATGAACTACAATATTCTGCTAATTATCCTACATTTTAAATGCATACTTCCAGTTCAAAACGGCACAGTTATGTAAACAAATACCTGAGCAGCCATATCAACCAGCTGTGGAAGCTTCAGATACTTTCCATCTCCTTCCTTAAGGAAATCTAATAAGCTCCCTAAAAGAGACAGAAACATAAAAACAGGAAATAAGCAAATCCCACATTAGTACTGAAAGACACTCTTCCTTCCCCAAACAAATCATCAAATCATAGTACATCATTTCTTAACTTTCATTCTTCAGTATTTTTGCTGTTTTAAAATTTCTGAATACTTATATGAAAGATCTCAGCAAAGGTCCCTAAAATGAAATTCTGAAAACTCCGAATTACATGTTTGATAATAATTAGTTCAAACTAAACAGAAGCACTAAATCAATCGCTATGCAGGTGTTCGCCTGACCAACTTCACTCAATTCTAGCAGAACATATCATGGAACAGCAGACTACTGTGAATAACAACACAGGGAAAGAAGAGTCTGCTTATTGCTGATCCATCACTGGTGAAAAGCCTACCACATCATTACATTTAATTACAAGAAAACACCAGATGAACCAAAAATAAAGGAACAGGTTTGTGGGGGTTTTTTAGGATTTATTTATTTTTATTGGAAAGGCAGATATGCAAAGAGGAGGAGAGACAGAGAGGAAGATCTTCCATCTGATGGTTCATTCCCCAAGTGGCCACAATGGCTGAAGCTGAGCCAATCCGATGCCAGGACCCAGGAACCTCTTCCAGGTCTCCCACGCATGCGCAGGGTCCCAGGGCTTTGGGCCTTCCTCAACTGCTTTCTCAGACCACAAGCAGGGAGCTGGCTGGGAAGTGGAACTGCCAGGATTAGAACTGGCTGCCCACATAGGATCCTGGCGCGTGCAAGGCAAGGACTTTAACCACTATGCTATTGTGCCGGGCCCAAGGAACAGTTTTTTAAAATACAAAAGTGGGCTAGCCTCTTAAAAAACAATGCTTTGAGGGATGAAAGAAAGAAAAAGGCTCCATACCCAAGGAGATCACAAAACAATGACAAATGAATGAATGACCAATGGCTGGATACTGAGAAGGAAAGTATAGTTGATTAAAGGTTAAGAAATGGAGAACAAAACCGCTTGAACCAAGGGAATAAGATTATCCAGAACGGTGATTATATTTCAGTGTATGTAAGGCAATCAATTTGAAAGATAATGGGTAACATAATGGGTACCAAAATAGGAAAATAAAAGACAACCTTTGATATCATCTAGACTCAACCTCCCATCTGAAAATTATCTTAAGCCAGTCATCTGGTAACAGAATTCTACCATGCTTCTGATTTCCATCATTTTTCTTCCCATTATATGTCTTATGCTACCCTGTTTGTACCTTGAAATGTGATTTTCAGTTTTTAATTAAGACATAGTAATTACATTTATGGGGTAACATTTCAATTCAAATATACATTGTGGATCACCTCCCTGCCTCATAATTCACCCAGTGTACTCTTTGAAATAGCATATTTGGCAGTTGTTGCAGTAGAAAATTCCTTCCAACAAGGTATGTTTTGTTATTAATTAATATATTATGCTGGTTAACTTTGGGCTTCAGTTCCTTTCAGGGAGAATTTTCCGAGTTAATGTGTAGCTTGTAATTACCTCTTTCTCCACTAGATGGAACTACACCACTGGTCAGATAGGAGAGTAGAGTGGGTGACAATTTGTGATTGAATCATAAATGGTGGATTTCAAACAATAAACAGGAAAAAAGCATGTCAAATTCAAAATGGATTTAAGTTGAGCCTATCGGCGTATCTTCTGACTTACGGGTTATTCCTCTAAAGAATGCATCATTAGGGTAAGAAGAAAAAAGGAAAACAAGTTCTTCCTCTCTAGCCTGGCCCTAACTGGCCGCTGCTCAAGATGCCATCTCCCAGTCCTGTTTCAGAGCACTGAGAAACTTCAAGGAACTGTGCCAGAAAATCTCTTTCAGGAATCTTGAGCATGGGACTGTGTTTAAATTAGAATGAGATGAAACTAATTCCTTTTAACTTTACCTTCTTTGCTTAGTGCTGGAAAATGCCTTTGATTTTATCCTGATTCTAACTGTACAACTTTCTCACTCCTCTAGCTATTCCACTAGCTTTCGCCAAATCTACTTTCAAAATAAATTCAGCCGATCTCCACTTCTTTCAAATTCTGTATTATGCTATGCTGAAATGAATTGGTTACTGAAATTAGAAAGTGACAGATCTACCTTTTTTGGATATCTACATAAAAATCTTCCATTAGAAAACACTGTAACTGTGGAAGCCAACACCTTCTCAGAACAATCCAGACCACTGACACAGCATTCATCCCACACTGGGGTCTCCATGGCAACACCAAACGACCACCTCGGGCCCTGGTGCTGTTGCCCTGCTCCTAGCCTGGCATCCCCCAGCCCCAACTCTGAGGACACAGAACAGAAAATGAAGAACACTTATCTCACCCTCAACTGTGACCCTCTCCATCTGAACTGGAGGCCACCCCTCATTTTGCAATAAATATTAAAATAAAATTAAAAAGCCACTATAACAAAACCTATTTGCATGAAAATACACTTGTACCTTTTGACATAAATTCAGTGACAATGTAAATTGGTTCTTCAGAAACGACAGCATACAGTGGAACAAGTTTATCATGTCTTAATTTCTTCATGATCTGAGCTTCTTGCAGGAAAGCTTCTGGCATCATTGTACCTGGCTTGAGTGTTTTGATTGCTACCTTTGTGGTTCCATTCCATGTTCCTAAAGAAACAATACATTGTACTATTTAAATATGCATTCTAAACGAGACTGAAAATGAAGCATCTTAAATATCTGTAAACATACTTCATCATAAACTGTGGCTTCTTAATCTGCCGCTGCATAACCCAGGGAGCAGGAACCCAGGGCTTACCCATCCACACTTCACCGAAGCAGCCTTGCCCCAGCTTCACTTCCAGTCTCAGAGACTCACGAGGAATTTCCCAGGCGTCTTTTGCTAGGCCTTGAGTCTGTGGTTTCACAGTCGGACACACAGTCGTTAACTTGTGACATAAACCATCAGCATGTTCTAAATAAATGAGTAAATGAAACTGCAAAATGAGCCACTTAACAAAAGTTAGAAAAACAAAGACATGTCCAGTCTTACTCTAAAAACGCAAGTGAAAACTGGCTTATCTATAAGAATCAACATATAAAGTACGTATCTGTGAAATATTTAGCTAAATGCATTTTTCCGAAGTTACCATTTACTGAATATTTACATTTCCGCTACTGTGATAATTCAGTTACTGTTAATTCAACATAAATTTCTCAAGGTCCCACAACCATTAAGTGATGGTGAGAAAGGATTTGAATCCTCATTTGCTTCAAAAGTTTTGCTTTTGACCACTGAATTTTATTCCCAAAGAATAAAATACTATTATTATTTCTAATAACCTCTAATTTCTAAAACATACAACCAAAGTTTTGGCATTGGTTCTTAAACAAGAGACATACAAATTCAGGCAACATCATTCACAACAGCTGACCCGTGAATTCTGCTTATAAAGCTTTCTTACTGTAAATGAGACACATTCCTTCCATACAAATTTACATTATAACAAGAGCAATTACAAATGAAGCTACTGCTTAGTAACATGTTTGATGGATGTCAAGACTAGGGCTGACTTGACAGACTCAGATGTAAGCAGCCGTCACTGAAGAAGACATTACCATGGAAACTTCCCCTCACCTACTATTAAATATTTAAAGACTTTCAAATGCAGTTATGTATCAAACTGAAAATGAAAATTCCTAATTCAGAAGACTAATATCTGAATATCTTTCAAAGGCCCTTGAAAAATAATATCTAATAGTTGCTACACATCTACTTCCTAGAATAAGAAAAATGTACCTTTCAGCAAATTTCATTGAATTTACACTCCTTTAGAAATCCCTGGGATCTAAAGCTGCTGCCTGCAGTGCCCTTGCGGGTGTGGCTTGGGTCCTGGCTGCAATGCTTCTGGTCCAGCTCCTGTCAATGGTCTGGGAGGCAGCAGAGGATGGCCCAGCTACTCGGCTGTTACGGCCATTTGGACATGAAACCAGTCTTTCCCATCTCTAACACAGAATTTCAAATAAATAAAACCTTTAAACGGAAAGAAATAAATCTTGGGACTGGCACTGCAGCACAGTAGGCACAATCTCTGTCTGTGGCACCAGCATCCCATTTGTGCACTGGTTCAAATCACAACTGTTCCACTTCCAATGCAGCTCCCTGCAAATGTCCCTGGGACACCAGCACAAAATGGTTCAGTGCTTGGGACACAAACCCACGTGGGAGAGCCAGAAGCTCCTGGCTTCCTGCCAGCCCAGATCTAGTCACTGCGACCATCTGGGTGGCGAAACAGTAGATGGAAGATTTCTGTGTAAATCTGCTTTCAAATAAGTAAATAAATAAATAAAACTATTTTTTATAAATGAAAGATTTTGTTCCTACAAAACAGCCCATAATGAAGCAATTTTTTCCTTCTGAAACAGCCTCTTACCTGTGTAGTGTTTCACCAGTTTTTGAAGAGTATCAAATTGTGCTCTGGTTGTAATATAATATCCACCATTGTCAAGTTTCCTAATTTTGTAGTGTTTCACATTATCACCCCTCACCTCATCCCAATCACGAATCGAGAGGGAATAAGCACCTGGGGGCAGAGGAGAAAAACACTTTATCTTTCTCAAAATTTGTCAATGAATTTAGCTCAAGCAAATTGTTACAGCAATAATAATATTCATACCTTTAGTAGTTTCACTTTCTCTTACTAAAAATATACCTCGTTGATTCCCAGGATTCAGAAGTAATCTTTCAGCATCTTTTCTCCCCATTTTGCCAAAATACCATCTGGAAAATATTGATATTATTTTGACTTGGAAAGGTAAGAAGATCAGAAAAATATACAAGACCCAACAGGAATTTAGTAGAATACAGCTAGCTGATGACAAAGCTTAAAATATAAAACATAAAATACATTTTCATTTATCAAGTAGGAACTTTACAAATGCTACTGCTGGAGCACATCTGGCCAGGCTTTTCTACACTGACCACTCAATACGTGTCTTAAATTCAACCTGGCTGTCACAGCAACCGTTCATGGAGAAGGAGAGGAACAGTTAATGGCTAACAGGATGTATGAGAACCACAGGAAGAAGGGAAGTGGCTCACTACAAACAGTGGGTTCAAGAGCCAAGTATTTCATATCTATACATGAGGGACTCTAAATCAGTACAAGTGTGACTTAATCAAAGTTTTAAGAAAAAAATGAGTCTACAATAAAAATGAGTGAGCTCGCAGAACTCTGGAAACAATCAAAGAACAAAACAAAACTACAGTACAAAAGCTACTCAGCAGAGCATCTGCTGTAAGCAAGGTGCTGAGCTAAGTGCTGTAATGTGAAAATGAAGTATTTGTGAACTTCCGATAAACTTTTTGACTTAAAAAAGCTTTCTAAAAGCTACAAGAGTCCACAAAACTCCCATCTGCCACACAAGCAAGCAGCCTAACATTTTGCTGTATCACCCTTCCCACTGGGTATGCAACTTATGCACACACACACACGTACTCTCTCTCTGAACTGAGAGTAAACTGCAAACATTACCCATAAATACTTTTGTGTATACCTCCTAAAAGACAAGGATTTTTTCTTAAATAAACACAACGTGTACAACCTAAATAAAAACGATAATGTTGATATAGTATTACTCATTAATCTCTGAAGCGAATGAGTCTGTAGAATATTTTAAGGATTAATGTGGTTTTTTTTTTTAAAGATTTATTTTATTATTTTTTATTGGAAAGGCGGATATACAGAGAGAGACAGAGAGGAAGATCTTCCGTCCGATGATTCACTCCCCAAGTGAGCGCAACGGCCAATGCTATGCTGGTCCGAAGCCAGGAGCCTCTTCTGGGTCTCCCACGCGGGTACAGGGCCCAAAGCTTTGGGCCGTCCTCGACTGCTTTCCCGGGCCACAGGGAGCTGGAAAGGAAGCGGGGCTGCTGGGATAGAACCGGCGCCCATAGGATTAATGTGGTTTTTTAAAAGCAAGTAGAAAGGCCTGATGCTGTAGCCTAGTGGCTAAAGTCCTCGCCTTGCATGTTCCAGGATCCCATATGGACAATGGTTTGTGTCCTGGCTGCTCCACTTCCTGTTGGATCAGCTCAGATCAGATTCAGAATAAATTCTCTCTGTAAATCTGACTTTCCAATACAAAATAAATAAATCTGTTTTAAAAGAGTAGGCAAACAAAGGACATTACGCATAATGCAGTAGGACTGATGAGGTTTCACTTCTGCTCCAAGGCTAAGAGCAAACACTCTGACATTAATTATTAATTCTCAAATAACATCTATTAATGATACATTAGCTATATTAAGACTGGCATGTAACTGCATGTGTGTAAATGTGTGGCTAGTACAAAGTGCATTAAAGCATTTTGAAAATCAAAGTAATTAATAAAATATGAAGTGCTGCCATACTCTTCCGCCTGAATGGAATCCGCAGGTGCTACGTAATTGCTAGGGATATAGCCATTCTTTCCTGTAGCGATGGATCGTGCTTCCCACCAGTCTCCTTCCCTGTAACACACAAAACACAAGTTACAAGACAGACTACCACCCAAGGCTTAATGCAGCACACTGTGTTCCGGCATCCCAAGCAAACAAGAGCTACTGCTTCTATTCTTTACTTATGCATTCATCTGTTCAAGACTTGAAGGACCTTGAGAAAAGCAGGCCATGAATTACAAGAGTATGGTCAACACACAAAATCCCCCAAAGCATCACATAGTTTAGCTACAGGATCTTTAACTGCATAATTCTTCTAGCTAAGACAATACACATAGACTGAAATTCTGAAATAGCCTTACTGAGATACAACTTACATACGATAAACCCCTCTCCTTTAACGCTCAGGATCACTAGTCATGAGGGAAATGCAAATGAAAACCACCACGAAGTCTCACCTCACCCTAGCTACAATAAATGGTGGCAATGGGTGCAGAGGGAGGGAGGCAGCACCCTAACTCACTGTTAGTGCGGAGGTAAATCAGTACAACCACTACGGAAGACAGTATGGAGACCATGCAGTCATTCCATGCCTAGAAATTTAGCCAAAATGAAATCAGCATGAAAGAGCTACCGCCATGGGGGGAGGGGTATGGGAGGGGTGGGGGGGATCCCCAGCGCCTATAAAACTGTACTACATAATATAATGTAAGCAACAATAAAAAAAAAAAAAAAAAAAAAAGAAAGAGCTACCGCACTCTCAATGTTTATTGCAGCTCATTCACAATACTTAAGCTACATAATCAGGAGCGGGCAGTAGATTCTGGTTGCTCCACTTCTGATCCAGCTCCCTGCTTATGATCTGGGAAAGCAGCATAGGATTCCCCAAATCCTTGGGCTGCTGCATCCATGTAGGAGATCTGCAGGAAGCTCCCAGGCTCCTGGCTTCAGACTGGCTCAGTTCCGGCCAGTGCAGCCACTTGGGGAGTGAAACAGAAGACAGACCTTTTTCCCTGCCTCTCCTTCTCTCTGTACATCTGCCTTTCCAATAAAAAATAAATTAAAGCTTAAAAAAAAAAGATACGCCAAAATATATGCCCAAGCTGTAGGTAACAGCCTAGGTTAGCTTGTATCTAGGCAAGTGTTACACTGGTGGGAGAAAAAGCACGCAACAGCTGGTGGGCATTTTGGATCTGGTTAAAGCCAAATTTGTGTGAACTATACCTTTATGCCAACAGTAGTTTGCTTTTTTTTTTTTTTTTTACAGAAATGTGGGAAGGCAGTGGACACTGGGCTGGGACATGCCACCCTAAAGCACCTGGCACGGGCGTCTGGGAAAGAGGGTCTGGGAACATGTTGGAGTAGGAGCAGCTGAGGCCATGTTTAACAGGAGAGGAGCGACTCAGGTCTTCCGGTGACCCAGCCACTGCACTTGCAGGAAGCTGAGACAGAGTGGTTTAGACGGGGAAACCAGAGAACACGTCTGGGTCCGGCCACTGGTGCCTACAGAAGCTGGGACTGTGGAACACGCCTGACTGGGCTAGGCCACAGTACCTGCACACCAGGGTCAGAGCAGGGGGTGGGCCACATCAGGTTGGGCTGCAGCACTCACCAGAACACAGCATAAGCAGACCTGGGGCAGATTCTGTAGCAGATCTGTGGGCTCACCTCCATGAAACTGCAGCGCCTGCTGATTTGTGTGGGAAGCGGGGGATGGTGACAAGCTGGTCCAGGCTGGACCACAGACTTCACCTGTCATCGTGGGATCTGGGACTGGGAGGAGGCCAGGTGGGAGAGGCTGAAACACCAGCTGGCACATGCGAAAGCCAAGACTGAGGGCAAACCATGCCAAGCAGGACCATTGTCCCTGCTAGCACACATAAGATCTAAGACAGGGAACAGACATGGTAGGGGAACTTGGGGAATTCTCCTAGTAGGCCACAGTTCTCACCAAGAGCAGAAGAGCTGGGGCTAGGGGCAGGCCAGGCAGGGCTGCAGTATTCCTCAGCTTTTCTGTGAGCCATGTCTATGCACAAGTCAGGCTGGGCCAGGCCACAGAACCCAGTGGCACGCATGAGAGCCAGGACAGAGTGTAGACTGTGCTGCACTGGGCTGCAACACCCACCAATGAGGGCTGAGACTGAAAGCAGGCCGTGGCCAGGTTGGGTCGAAGCACCCATCAACGTGCCAAGACCTGGGGCTAGGAAGGGGCCTGGTAGGAGAGTTCTGGGGACTCCTCTACTAGGCTCCAGCTCCCACTGGTGATGCAGGAGCTGGGGCTGCGGGCAGTCCAGGTTGGGCAAGGATGCAGCACACATCAGCATGCACGTGGGTTGGGTTTGGGGGCAGACCAGAGTGAGCTAGGCTCCAGCACCCACTGGCGCTTGCAAGAGCCAGAATACGTATAGGACAGGTCAGGGTAGAATGTGGCACCTGACGGTTCACATGAGAACCAGATCTAAGGGTGGGCCCAGGCAGGCTAGGCTGTAGCACCTGTTGGTGAAAGCTAGAACGGGTGCATGCCAACTGGGTTCGGCTGCAGTACCCACTGGTGAGTTCCAGGACTGGGGCTGGCCAAGTCACGTTGAGCCAAAGCACCTGCCAGTACACATGAGATCCACTGCTGGGAGTGGCAGGGAAAACTGGGGAACTCCCTTGCTAGGCTACAGCTCCCATCGGTGAGTGCTAGAACCAGGGACGAGGGCGGACGAGACCAAGATGGGATACAGCACCCGCCAGCATATGTGTAGGCTAACTTTAGGGGACGGTCAAGCTGAGCCAGGCCATAGCACCCCACAGATATGCATGAGAGCCGGATGGGATGTGGGCTGGACTGGGCTGGGCTAGACTGCTGCAAAGGTTGACAAGCACAGAAACTGCAGTGAGCGGGTGGGGGAGGCAGCTTTTGGGGGGGCGGTGCTATCAGGGATTGCTCTGACTAGAACACAACACTGCTGGTATGCATGAGAGAACCAAGTCTGTGGTAGGCTGGCCGTGCTGTGCTCCAGAACCTCAGTCTGTGAGAGGTAAGGGGCTGGGGGAAGAACTGACTGTGCATGGGCCTGTGCAGGTGAAGGACTAAATCTGACCCTGCACTGGTTGCAACACACAAGAGTCAAGTCTGAGGTCACTCCAGGCAAGGTTTTTTGGGGGACTTCCTGACTGGACTGCTGGACTCAGACCCTGGCCATGGGGAGAACCACAGAAGTGTAGTGCATCCTTGGATTGGGCAATCTCAGCCGCTGATGCCTGTGCAGTGACAGCATGCCAAATGCACACAGGGGACATGATGGCCAAATCCTCAGTAGCTGAAGGTTTTTTTAAAGATACATTTCAATTATTTGATAGGCAGAGAAACAGGTCTTCATGCACTGTTTCACTACCCAAATGACCACAATGGCTGGGGCTGGGCCAGACAAACCCAGGAGCCAGGAGCTTCTCCCAGGTCTCTTATGTGGGTTCAGAAATCCAAGGGCTTGGGACATTCTCTGCTGCCTTCCAGGCAAATTAGCAGGGAGCTGGATATGAGGTGGAGCAACCAGGGTTGGAACCAGCACCCATATGAAGCAAGAGCATCACAGGGGGCAGCTTAGCTGTGACACAATAATGCCAGCCCCTACTAAAGGATTTTAAAGCAGAGGCATGATTATATTTTACAATATGGAACTGGTAGCAAATAGAACAGGACGGTAGGAAACATGACTGGAAGCAAAGAGACTATAAGTGTGCATTCTGAGAAGTTACACAGTGGTTGTTACGCTTGCTAATGAAATACGGTATCCATTTTCCATAGTAAGCATCCAATTTTCTATGGCAAACCACTAAATGGCAAAATGTCTAAGAGTCACATAATAAGAAAGCAACTTAATCTGGTCAGTTTGAGATACAAGAATTCCTTACTCAATGCTTGCTTGCTTGCTTTTTTTTTTTTTTAAAAAAAAAGATTTATTTTTTAATTTTCATTACAAAGTCAGATATACATAGAGGAAGAGAGTCAGAGAGAAAGATCTTCTGTCCAATGATTCACTCCCCAATGAGCGCAACGGCCAATGCTGTGCCAATCCGATGCTGTGCCAATCCGAAGCCGGGAACCAGGAACCTCCTCCAGGTCTCCCACGCAGGTGCAGTGTCCCAAAGCTTTGGGCCGTCCTCAACTGCCTTCCCAGGCCACATGCAGGGAGTTGGCTGGGAAGTAGAGCTGCCAGGATTAGAACCAACGCCGATATGGGATCCTGGTGCATTCAAGGCAAGGAATTTAGCCGCTAGGCCACGCCACCGGGCCCCAAAGTAATAATCTTTAAATTATCTGGCATTCAGGGCCCAATGGTGTGGCCTAAAGGCTAAAGTTCTCACCTTGAATGCGCCAGGATCCCATGTGGGTGTCGGTTCTAATCCCAGCAGCTCCACTTCCCATCCAGCTCCCTGCTTGTGGCCTGCGAAAGCAGCTGAGGCTGGCCCAAAGATTTGGGACCCTTTACCCGCATAGGAGAACCAGAAGAGGTTCCTGGTTCCCAGCTTTGGATCAGCACAGCACCAGCTGTTGCGCTCACTTGGGGAGTGAATCATCAGATGGAAGATCTTCCTCTCTGTCTCTCCTCCTCTCTGTATATTTGACTTTGCAATAAAATAAATAAATCTTTAAAAATAATAATAATAAATAAATTATCTGGCATTCAAATAGAAGCACAAAGTTGTCTCTGTACAAATTTTTGTAAAATATATACTTGCATATAGTCTCCCTAATTCCTCCTCCTAAAATCTGTAATGTTAATGGTTGAACCAGGGCACCATGACTTGCAGAAAGTTACCTGCTGACTAGAGCACCAGTAAGTCATAGTCACAAAGAAGCCATGTCTGTCACCGAGCAGCAGAGCTCACATCACTCTCTAAGTCACTTAGCTCAGTGATTTCAAAGACCAGTATTTCTATTTCATGAAAGAGTCATTGCACTTACGTATTGTTAATTATTTGAAATCTTTCACCCTTCTTAAATGAAAGGTCTTCTGTAGTTCTAGCTTCATAATCATATAAGGCCACAAATATAGTAACACCACCTATTAGGGGAAAAGATCAAGGTGATTATATAAATAAGCTAACAAAAGAGAATTAAATAACCCGTTGCCAACAGTAACCAAAAAAACCTTCAGGACAGTTTTTCCCCCGAGTCCACAGAATCTATTTTTCGAAGTGGACTTTGGGTAGCTGGACTTTAATAAGCTGCCCCTCAACACCCTCCGCAAAAGCACTTCATAAAATTCTAAAATTATATAGACTCAGAAGAAAATATAATTTTAACTCTTGATACAAACATCCCTGGTTGAAAATACAATAAAATTTCAAATAACTTCTTTGCAAGAAAAAGCAGTGATTAGTATTATGAACTACTAGAAGTGCTTTTCTTTTCCAACTTCCTACAAATAACAGATATCTAATCATTACAGTATTTAATACATGCATAATACTTTTTAAAAAGTGGTGTAAATTAAATGGTTCATATAAATTGAATGGTATAGCCTGTATGAATTATAAATTCCAAAAATAACTGTTATATATAGCAATACTTGCAGATGCTTAACAGACAAGCCCAACATATCAAACCATCATCGGCAATTAACAGATATTTACCATACACATGCCCTGGTTTACTGTAATGATCAATTTTTAGAAATTATATATCATATATGTCACATATAACATGATACAATTAAAAACATGTATAATATGGAATGATTAAATTAAGCTAATAGACATGCACTGCCTCACAAATTACTGGTAAAATCAGTTAAAAGCTACTCAGCAATTTTCGAGGATAGACCATATTGTTATCAACTTAATTAATCATCCCATTTTATCAACCCATTAATCAACCGCTTAATTAGCCAACCCATTTTCCCTCACTGAAATTAAAAAAAATTTTTTTAAATTTTTATTGCAAAGTCAGATATACAAAGAGGAGGAGCATCAGAGAGGAAGATTGATTCACTCCCCCAAGCAGCCGCAATGGTTAGAGCTGAGCCAATCCAAAGCCAGGTGCCAGGAGCCTCCTCTGGGTCTCCCACATGAGTGCAAGGTCCCAAGGCTTTGGGCTGCCCTCGACTGCTTTCCCAGGCCACAGGTAAGCATCTGGATGGGAAGCAGGGCTCCCAGGATTAGAACAGGCACCCATATGGGATCCTGGCGCATGCAAGGACTAGCCACTAGATCCCCCTTACTGAAATTTTCTATTTTATGACCAAAATACTCTTAAGTATATACTGTGCTCAAAGTAATTTCAATCATTTGGCAGATTAATTAATAGGTTAATACATCCCCATCTGTGTACCGGTTCTAATCCGGGCAGCTCCACTTCCCATCCAGCTCCCTGTTTGTGGCCTGGGAAAGCAGTCGAGGACGGTCCAAAGCCTTGGGACCCTGCACCCATGTGGGAGACCCAGAGGTGGCTCCAGGCTCCTGGCTTTGGATTGGCACAGCTCCGGCCGTTGCGGCTGCTTGGGGAGTGAATCAACGGAGAGAGGATCTTCCTCTCTGTTTCTCCTTTCTGTATATTTGCCTTTCTAACAAAAATACATAAATCTTTTTTTTTAAATTAGTGTACAGCAGTTCTCTTTGGCCACTGTCATTACCCAGAAGTGAGTAGACTGAACAGTCAAATTGGCAGTACCACCTTGTAGAAGAGATTTCTCTTGCCACCACTGACTGCTAGTAATAATCTATGCTACTCAACTCAATGTCAGCAGCTATTTGTGCCTCAGGATGAAGTGGCCACTCCAAGAGCTGCAGGGGAGAAATGAAAGTAACCCAAGTCCTTGTTGGCAGCATCCAACCGCTGTATTGGGAAAATCTTGGAGCTCACCTACCTTTTAAGCCAGCTGTGCCTTATTACTTCAAGACAATGGCGTTCTGACATGAAACCTTTTACAAAATAACTCACTTTTTCTTTATAAAAGGTTTAAATCTACCTTTTAGAGCATTCTATCTCCAAGGAAACAACTCGCAGGTGCCACTTGTTGCTCTCTTCTGAAAGAACATGTAAGAAATGTGGTCCTGGGATAGAGCACTGCATGTCAGCTCTGACATATACTACCTATGACTCTGGAAAAATCATCCAATTCCAAGTCAGAATTACAAAGAGACGGTGAGTAGGCAGAGATCTCCCACCCACTGGTCACTCCCCACTGGCTGCTATGGACAGATCTGGGCCAGTCTGAGGCTGAGCGCAGGAATTTCCCAGGTCTTCCACAGAGTGGTGTGGGACTCCAAGTGCTTGGCCATCATCTACTGCTTCCCCAGGCCATCAGCCAGGAGCTGGCTCACAAGTGAAGCAGCCAGGACCCAAACCAGTGCCCACACAGAATGCTGGAGCCCCAGCTGGAGGACTGGCCTCTACGCCACCATACCAGCCCCCGAGACTCGAGATTTTAAGTTAGTAGCATCTGACAGGAACAATGTATTTTCATTACTATATTATCACTTAACATTTACTATAAATCAGAACACTTTACCACTAGATAGCACCTTACAAGTTTAACATGTTTTAAGATGTACATGTTTTTGATTTTTAAATTCCCCATGCCTTCCGCACAACTAGTGCTTAAACATTACTTGAATAAATAATGAAATACTGATAGAACATACTACATAGTCACCATCATATTATCATCAGGTTCCTCAAAACCATCTCTATGTGTATATAAGACTTTCATTTCTAGGTTAGAAACTTCAAACTACACATAGAATTCTTTGAAAAGTTCTCTGGTAAGATAATTTTCTTAAGAACCAACACTGACTATAAACTGCCCATGGTTTTACTCCCAAACAACATGACTGGTCATTGCCATCTCACCTGTTATACCAGCAGGATATGAACTTGGCACCACTGAGAATGAGGAAGAAGCTCCTCCAAAAGGAGTTACCCCTGAGGATCCTCCGAACGGTGTTATGGAAAGGTTGCTGAAATCCGTTGATGCTCCCTTGGCGGCCGCCGGCGCCCCTGGGCTGAGATCCACTCCATAATGGCTGGCACTTGTACTGACAGGCTCTGGAGTGTTTTCAGTTCTGTACTTAATGGCTGGACTTTTGTTTTCTTTACTTTTAATGCAGCCCATTATCAAATCTACAGAGGCTATAAAGCAAATAGTTTGAGAAGCAGTTAACACAACAGTATACATAAAAAGTAACAATTTAAAAGGTGCTTTTGAATAAGGCATCCTCCCTACTCACAGAAAAAAGTAACATTCACACCACAACGAAAACTTGAGAGGTGAAAGTGAAGTCTCATTATATTTACTACAACTTTGCTAAAGCTTCTCTCGAATTACATCATTCTCCAAACAGCCATATTCTACAGCCCAATGTTCACACAGCATGTTGAGAAAACCTCTGCATCTTAAGCCAGAGGCCCAAATGGGAATCCTGACTTCTTAGCACTGAACCACTCTACAGCCCCAAGAGTTGAAACCTCACCTACCTTCACAAGGTTTACTATGTAATTCTATTACAAGTCTAAATAATCTAACATATACTGGGTACTAGCAAATAATGCTGAATTCTTCCTATATATAAAAAAAAAACACTGTGCACCTAGGTCAGAGAAAAACACACATAACTTAAAATTTTCTAGTCGCTGCATTAAAAAAGTACAAGGAAACAGGTGAAATTTACTATAATTTATCTTAATATATCTAAAATATGTATTCCAAATCACTAGTTTGAAAGATTTACAGGATCTGGAACAATAGCCTAGCGGCTAAAGTCCTCATCTTGCATGTGCCAGGACCCTATACAGATGCCAGTTCATGTCCTGGCAGCTCCATTCCCATCCAGCCCCTGGCCTGTGGCTTGGGAAATCAGTCAAGGACCCCTGCACCCAGACTGGAGACCTGGAAGAGGCTTATGGTTCCTGGCTTCCGATCGGCTCAGCTCTGGCTGTTGAGGCCACTTTGGGAGTGAGCCAGTGGATGGAAGATTTTTCTGTCTCTCCTCTCCATAAAATCTGACTTTCTAATAAAAACAGATACATCTTTAAAAAGGAAAGAAAGAGTTACAAAGAAAGACATCTTTCATTCTCTAGTTGACTCCCCAAATCGCCTCAACAGCCAGCAGCAGCATCTGGGTCCCCCACATAGATGGCAAGGTCCCAAGGGTTGGGGCCAGCCTCTGCTGCTTTCCCAGGTGTCCTAGCAGGGAAAAGGATCAAAGTGGAGCAGCTGATACTCAAACCAGGAACCATATGGGACACTGGTCTCACAGACGGCAACCTCAACCCCCTACACCAAAAGGTCAGACTTCTAAAGCATGCTTCAAAATGTCATCAACATAAAAATGTTTCAATATTTCACATCCCTTTGTTAACACTACATTGTGGAAATCCAGTCAGTCTGGACCAGGCACATACCATGGGTTCAACAGCCCTGAGTACAGCCGTACTTTCCCCTACCTATCAACATGCGTAACTCCAGTACTGAGCAACTTTCAAGCCAGCCAGTCCTTCCAACCTTCTCAACGTAATCTTGTACTATTTTCCAATACTGAGGTTCACACATACTTAGGATATCCTGTTTCCCCAAGTCACACATTCAGTGCTTTTCCATTTTTTTCCCCTCCTAAAATGGTCTCTGTCTAAAATACTCTCTCACCTCTACTGGCTAATATTCTATTTTTCAATGATAACCTCAACAAATTTTCCTTTTCCGTTCAGGTTTTCCCTGCACTTGATAAAATAACTTTTTCCTTAAAAAAAAAAAATCTCATGAATGAATGGCTTCTCAGCCCTTAGGCTAAGATCAAGTGCAAAAGTCTCATGAATGGTTTTAAGGGGTGGGCCCATGCCCAGCAGTCAGGGCGCTGGTCAGCATCCTCATGTTCCATACCGCAGTGCAAAGCAGCTCAGTGCAACGCCACGCTCAGCTTCCAGCTTCCTGGGAGGCAGCAGGGGCGGCCCAAGCGACTGTGCTCAGCCACTGCCCTAGAGCAAACAGTTGCAAAGTTGAGGTCTCGGCTCCTGACCAGGACATTGCCCCACCTCCTTGGAGACAATTAAGGAATGAACCAGCAGATGGGAACTTTTTTTTTTAATTAAAGATTTTTTTTTTAAGATTTATTTTATTTTTATTGGAAAGGCAGATATACAGAGAGGAGAGACAGAGAGAAGACCTTCCCTCTGATGATTCACTCCCAAGGCGGCCGCAATGGCTGGAGCTGAACCAATCCGAAGCCAGGAGCCTCTTCCGGGTCTTCCACGCGGGTACAGGGTCCCAAAGCTTTGGGCCGTCCTCCACTGCTTTCCCAGGCCACAGGCAGGGAGCTGGATGGGAAGCAGGGCTGCCGGGATGTGAACCGGCACCCATATGGGATCCCGGGCGTGCAAGGTGAGGACCTTAACCACTGCGCCATCGTGCCGGGCCCGATTTATTTTTATTGCAAAGTCAGATATACAGAGAGGAGGAGAGACAGAGAGGAAAATCTTCCGTCCAATGATTCACTCCCCAAGTGACCGCAACGGCCGATGCTATGCTGATCCGAAGCTAGGATCCAGGAACCTCTTCCAGGTATCCCACATAGATGCAGGGTCCCAAGGCTTTGGGCCGTCCTCGACTGCTTTCCCAGGTCACAAGCAGGGAGCTGGATGGGAAATGGAGCTGCTGGGATAATAATCAGTGCCCATATGGGATCCCGGCGCATTCAAGGCGAGGACTTTATCCACTATGCTATCGCACTGGACCCGCTTTCTGCTTTTAATTACTAATCCTTCTGAATAATGTCAATACATTCTTGAGAATTCTGCTTTATTCACCTCTATAAACCACTTCATCAATCCATCAATGTGAACACCACATATGTTGATTAATATAAAATCTGCATTTCTTTGCCTCTCCTCTCTGTATTTCTGCCTTTCCAATATAAGTAAATAAATATCCTTAAGAAAAAAAAATCTCCGATCTGCTGGTTCACTTCTAAAACGGAGGGACCAGTCAGAGTTGAGTCAATCTAAAGCCAAGAGCCAAAGACCTCCTCCAGGTCTCCCATATGGTGCAGGGTCCCAAGGCTTTGGGCCATTCACTACTGCTTTCCCAGGCTACAAGCAGGGAGCTGGATGGGAAGTAAAACAGCGGGGATATGAACCATTGCCCATATGAGATCCCAGTGCATGCAAGGCGAGCAAGGACTTTAGCCACTAGGCTATTGCGCCAGGCCCAATTCCCTTACATTTTAAGGTGACTATTATTTGTATAATTCTTCAAGAAATTAAAAAGGGGAGAGAATCATAATGGCAGAATAGGGTAACGACATGTTTAAACAGATGAAGAATATTAGAGTTTGAAGCAGAGAGGGCACATTCCAGGAAATAGGAGAGGACAGAACAACAGCAGAGGGGTACCCAGAGACTGACAGACACAGGAAAGCGGCAGGCACAGCGGTGTGGTGTTGCAGTGACGGATACTGAACTCCACCAGCAGCCGGAACTCCACCAGCAACCAGGTGGGAAGGGACATTTACCAGGAAATCCGGAGGTGAACCCAGACAAAGCACTGCTCGTCCTGCTGGTCTGTTTGATTTGACCAGGAGCAGAGATAAAGCAGCAGGTCCCAGACAGGCAATGTGGGAACAGGTGGATTTCACAGCCCCATCTGACTGCCTAGAGCCAAATTAGGTACCATTTCGTTTAAGGAGGCAAGGGCTATGGCGCAGGACTGCGCATGCTCGGAGCTGTAAGTTAACTCATTTCGGGTCAGTGAACTGCAGCAACAGGTTCCACCCAAGACATGTCTGGGTAGCCCTCAGAACTGACAGCCAGCAGATCAAGAACTCTGGAACTGGCACAACACGCACTATTTCTTACAGTGTGGCAAAGAATTTAAGACTACAGAGGACAACAGTGAGCTGTGCATGTGCTGAGCTTGGCGAGAACGCACTGAGCTCACTGCATTGCACTGGTCCCACGGGCCAATAATACCGACCGTGGCACTGTACAGGTCAAAGAAGGATCACGTGCCCCTCAGACCTAACGACCAACAGGTTCCAGCAAGATCAGCACCACCAAAACCTAGCTATATAGGACACCTGGTGTCTCCCTAATCCTGGGACTTGCTCCAACTGGAAGTGGGAGAAAGGTCATATAGACAACAGTGCAGCCTGAGCATGGTATCACAGGAGGTGGAGACTGGTGAGCCCTGCAGGAGCTGGGGCTACAGACACCATGGTGGAAAGCTAACAAAAGAACCCAGACCAGGAATTCACGGGAGGGAGTGGCACAACCAACTGCAAACAAAGAGTCGTGTGCCAACTGCAATACGTAAAATCAAAACGTAGACCTGTGGGTGACACAGCTAAGAAAGGTGCCTCAAGGAGAAGAATATGATAACCAGCACAATGACCAAGAGCAAAAGAAGAGACAGAGGCACAATGAATATTACTGAAGACTCCCCTGCATAGGAGCAAAAGCCTTTACCAACTTCAGAGTTAACTGAGGAAGACATCGAGAAAATGGGGGACACAGAATTCAAAATACTTGTTATAAAACTTATCAACAATGAGAAGCATGTAAAGCAGGCACTCAAGGAATTCAAGGAATATGTCACACTAGAAATGAATCAACTGAAAGCTGATATATCAGAAATGAAGAATACAAATCAAAAGTACAGTGGAGAGTCTCCAAAATAGAATGAAGGAGGCAGAAGAAAGACTCTCAAAATTAGAAAATACTACCTGACACCAAGGGGAAACAAACAAAAAGCTGGAAGCAGAGCTGGATCAGGCCAAAAAAATTATTCAAGAATTGAAAGACAGTATTGAAAGGTCAAATATAAGAGTTATGGGAGTCCCAGAGGGTGCAGAAAGAGAAGCTGAGTTTAAAATGTATTTAATGAGGGACCGGCAGCGTGGCCTAGCGACTAAAGTCCTCACCTTGAACGCACCAGGATCCCATATGGGCGCTGGATCTAATCCCGGCAGCTCCACTTCCCATCCAGCTCCCTGCTTGTGGCTTGGGAAAGCAGTCAAGGACGGCCCAAAGCTTTGGGATCATGCACCTGTGTGGTATACCCAGAAGAGGTTCCTGGCTTTGGATCGGCATAGCATCGGCTGTTGTGCTCACTTGGGGAGTGAATCATTGGA